CATTTTACATATACATTAAGTTATACTACTACTATTTGCTCACTAACATTTACAAAATTGCTTCTTACATGGTTTGGGAGGCCTGTCGTATCTTTTTCTCGAGCGGATCTCGATTGCAAAAAAATTCTGGTAAGTGCGTCCTGGTCGTGTAATAATTCTCAATTGTGATTTTTGTTGGTTCCATTTGATAATTATTCCTGTGAAGACACAAGGCAAGAAAGGTATCCTCAACTTTTGGTAAATGCGGTTGTTTTTCGCACCACTCTCTCAGTGATTGTATATCGGATAATTTTAATTGAGGATTGCTCTTCATTTCTTCCTCTAATGTGATACATTTTATTGTTGACATTTTACCTAAATTGCAAATTAAAATTATTTTACTGTATTTGATTGTGAGTAGAAAAATATCTGCGAAAATTTGATTACAAAATAGTCAGCTCTTTTTATTTTAAATTTATTGTGGAAAGTTTAATAATATTAAGAAAAAATTCTATAAAACTGGTTATTGGTCAGACAATAAGATATTTTTTAGTAGATAGATTGATAAAGAATTGTTTTCTAAACAGCTATAGTCAGAAACTAATTATGTCAAGCAAAATTAGTAAACTTTACTTATAAGTTATTTATATAATTAAATATTTTAATTTTTATTCTCTAATCGAGAGAAAGAGAGAGAGAGAGAGAGAGAAAGAGATATGGATTTTCTCAACTCTACCTCAATTTTTGTGCTCGTTCTCTATTAAAATACTTGGCGTTCACTTCGACACTTGGTCGTTCGGCGGTCACGTTACCACTAAACGCCAAGTAACTTTCATATGGTTCCCAACCAGCGTATATTATATGATTTACTTCCTCCATCCGCTCCTGATTCTCTTCCTTCGCCTCTTTTTGGCCCGCGGCTACTAACTTTATTTTGTCCAGTCAGTCCAGCGAATGATGACTTTTTTCGTCCTCGTCTTTCGGTCTCACATCGGATTTTTATTTCAATTAATTCGATTTTTTTTATATTTTTGCATTCTCATGCGTCCGCTACGTTTCGAAAGCTCGCGCGCTATTTTCTTTGTCAATTTTCTTTTTTCTCCGTTAAGATTTGTTAATCATCATACTAGCTCTTATTGATGTCGTCTCGTTTCCTACAGTCCTCGTCTACTAAATCCTTATCTGCTATATCTTCTCTAAACAAAAATATTTTTTTAATAAACCGTTTAACCATCCAAAAGTACATGCAGAAAAAGTTTAATGACATTGTCTTTTAAAATATTTTTAAGTTTCATAAAACAGGCTTAAAGTAACTAGATCGGAAGAGCACACGTCTGAACTCCAGTCAC